CCGGTGGAGATGCCCAGCGCTTCATGGCTTGTCTCTGCGCCCTCTGCAGCTAGCCCCGAGACAGTGCTGTCCCTTCCGGTAGAGAAGCCCAGCTCTTCAGTGAGCCATCAGGCCCAGTAGGGCGGGCCCTTGCCTCGGGTGTCAGCAGGCTCCGGACCCCCAGGGCTCTCAGACCCAGCGTCCAGTCCCAGCCTGGCCCTCGCTGCAAGAGGCTGAGCTACTACTGTGTCCCCCGCTGCAAGATGGGCTCCTGCTGCTGACCTGCAGGGTTGCTGCAGGGACTGCGAGCTGCTGGTGTAGACTGCCAGGGTCATCCCTTCCTCCGGGGAGCCTTGGGCTTCCCTGAGGTGTGGCCACGGCTGGTCACACACAGTTGTGGTTGCCGCTAACGATGAGCCGCCAGTGCTGACTCAAGAGGTCGGTCTGAACCTGCGGCATCGGCAGGTGACAGACTCAGAGGCTGCCCCAGCTGGCAGAGCCCCAGGAGGCGTTCCGGCCTGTGCACCGCCCTTCGCAGACGGACACGGGCCGGGCCGGGCTCTGCCCCAGACTCTGCCTCATTCGTCCCTGGTTTTGCTTCTGATTGGGACCAGCAGATGGCGTAGTGGCTTAGGCCCTGGACTCCCACACGGCCGACTGTGGGCACACATGGGGCACACGTGTGTGCATGCCTAAGATCCCAGGAGGAGAATAGAGAAGGGATTGCAGTGTGGCCATCCTCCCGAGGGGTAATTTCTCACTTTCACTCACTGTCTCTGTCTCTCTCCATGAGCACATGTGCCCTAAGGCAAGAACTTCCAAAAAAAAGTCACCTACTCACTGTGGAGGAGCCCAGGAACGGCCCATCCTGGCCTATAACCCCCAGGCCAAGCAGCTGAGTGGTTATACCCCCAGGTACCCCAAAGTGCTCATGCCCACACAGAGACTGGACTCTGAGCAGGAGTGCCCAGGGTTGCCAAGGCAACCTCTAGCAGACCCAGCCGTTGGGGGGAGGGGGTAAGGCTGAGCCCATGCCTTCCGGTGCTCCAGACCATGGTGGGTCGCAGCATCCCTCCTCTGCTCCCCGCGTGACCCATGGGCCTCGAACTCCATGCAGCAAGGCCGCCAGCCCCGACCCTGGGGCCAGGCTGTGCCGACCTGTTCAGCCTCCCTGGGAATATCTCCTGCGTGACGCTCCGCCCAGAGACGCCCAGGCTGTGCCAGGCCTGGGCCGCTTATGGACGAGACAGGAGGTGCTGTGGGTGGGCAGACCCAGCCTGGCGGGGTGCCCATACCCCAGTATACCCACTGTGGCCAGCCTCTGCTCCACTCCTCACCCACACAGGCTGCCCTCAGCCCTCCCAGGGCAGCTGCAGAGCCCACAGGAGGCACGGCCATGGGAGTCAGGAGTGCTTGCTGCCCAGGCGGGAGGGGCAGCCAAGGCCCCAGGGCTCCGACACCTCCCAGTGTGGGTCACGTCCCTGTTGGGCCCAGGAAGTTGTTGGGCAGACAATGACCGAGCCCACTGGGGTACAGATCAGCTCCACCTGGGACTTAGAGGCCCACCCGTGAGTGGGGCTGGCCGGCTGCTCTCAGGGAAGGCACCGTGAGTGCCGGCCTGCCTGCCTTATCCCACAGTGAGGCCCTTGGGCTGGTCCACCAGCAGGACAGACACTGGGCCTCGCCCTCCGAGTGCTGCTGTACACTAGGCCTAGTCCTTCCCCCACGTCGCGTGCTTCCCTGGGCTGCCGGGACCCACAGGGCGGGTCCAGGGGGGAAGTGGCTTATCTAGAGTCAGCTAGAGAGGTCGTGCCATGAAGGAGGACCCAAGTGCCCCCTGGCAATGGGCCAGCCAGTGGCATGGTGGTTAGGGCAGCTGGCTCCCACAGGGCTGTCTGTATGGTTTGCATCCTGGACCTGGCGTCTTGAAAAACACTCGGGGTGGGTGTGTGCATGCGTGCCCAAGATCCCAAGAGGATGGAGGAGACGGAATTGTGGCGTGGCCATCCCCACTGGGGGTGATGTCTCTCTGGCTCTCTCTCTCCCTCTCTGACTTCCTCCAGCAAATGCATGAAAAAATCCCAGCGCTGCCTCTTGCAGCCCCGCCTGGCCCTTGCCCAACCATGTCAGCCCTGCTTACAGAAAGGGGCAGCAAGGAGGAGTTAAGCCACAGAGGGAGCGGCCCTGCACACAGAGACAGCAACAGAGCTGACGGCCAGTGCGGGCCCACCGTGCTATGCTCCCAGCCCACAGGAGCCTCACTCTCCCCCACTCTCTCTCTCCAGGGCCAGCAGTTCCACCATCACGGTGTCCCTGCCCCAGGGACCAGGGATAAGGACAGCCTCCTGCGGCCATCGAGGACCACAGGACCCCCCCGGTACCGCCCTGCTGCTGACGGCATCCAGAGCACCACCAGGAGAGCGGGCGGGGCCATGGCAGGCCCCCACCACTGGCAGGCCAAGGCAGGCCCCGTGCCCCGCACGCTGCCAGAGCCTGGGAGCCCAAGGCCCACCCGGAACGCCCGCCCACTGGCCGACCGCAGGGCCAGCGAGGGGCATTCGAGTCCCTTTGGAATCCCGTACTCCAAACTGTCCCAGGCCAAGCACCTCAAGGACAGGACGGGTGGCAGCCAGTGGGCCTCTGACTCCAAACGGAGGGCCCAGGGCCCCCGGGACCGCAAGGAACCCTAGCAGCCCGTCCCAGCCGGGACCCTCGCGCCC